TTGACTTTAACTAAACCCTCAATCATTGAAAATTTAAATCCCTTTAAGTTGACATTGAAATGGACCTTAATTTAATTTAAAGTTAAAATTGATGTTTAATCAATATTAATTAATTAAAACTTATTAAAAATACCAAAAATTATTTAAGCACTTGTTGATCTCTCCTTAGATCATTCCTGATCTTTGGAGTTGATTTCAAGAAGTTTAGGACTGGTTTGGGGTTCAAATCCCTAAAAAGGACCCTTAATTCTAACAATTAAATAATTCCAATAAATACCCAAATTTCTAAAATTCATAACTAATTGTAAAAAATTTCAAATCAACCAAACTCAGTGGCTAATGACTCATACTAAAATCTAGTATTTTCTAAAAATGTCAAACCCCCAAAATCTGATCAAAGTCAAAAAGTCAACATTTTGGTCAACCTTAGGTCAAAAATTAGGTTAAAACTTCTAAAAATCATAACTTTTCATAGAAAACTTCAAATTGAGTGTGTCACCTGTCTAACAACTCATAATAAGGCCTAATATTTATTAAAAATCTGAACCCTTTAAATTTCCCTCTAATTCTAAAAATCAACTTTTTAGTTAATATATATAGATAATTTCCTAAAGCCATTAGATCATTAAAAAATTAAAATTTTTTTAACTTGATCGATAAAATTTTCAACCAATCTCCTAAAATCAGTAACCAATCCTTTTAATATTAATCTACTCCTCTTAATTTCAACCAACTTAAATTAATTTAATAAACCCCGATTACCATTGGGTTACCCAAGCCTACGAGGCTATTAGCTTAGCCCCAAGGAAGGTGAAATAAACTTCACGGACTCGATGTGAAACAAATGTAGTAATCAACTAACCCTTAAAATATATTTAAATAAAATTCTTAATATGATAATATTTAAGCTCTAACTTAAATCTCCCTTTAAACCTTAATAAACTCAAATACTAGAATACTTTAACTAATCACCCAACTTTTCTACACACACTTTAGATGGTTTGCTAGGACAAAAAACTCTAGATCTAGGTTAGGCAGGTGTTTAATTTACTGTTGTGTGTCAAATTTTTCGTAGTTTTACTGCATGCTGTGGATGACTATACTTGCTGTGTATGCTTACCTTTTTGCTGCACTCTGTGGATAATTGAAGTGTTTGGCGACTAGATTACCCTTAGGATAGGAGCGATCTGGATGTTCACATAATTTTCTGTAGGTGACCACGCTCATGCAGTGCAATAAAAAAGGGGGCTAAATCAATAAAATTTAATTATAAATATGCTTGCATATGTGCTTCAGCTGCCAAGCCCGCCAAGTAACTACTTGGGAATATTTTTGATTTATTAACTGCTTAGGATAACCCTACAGGAGAGTCTAGAATTTTTATTTTTATACAAGTGTAATTTGTGCAAGTGTTAAGTGTTGTGAAAGTGGAATTTTGAATTGGGATATATAGGTTCAAAGCTTGGACTCCAAAGAGAAAAGGACACCCCTTAGGGGAGTAGCCCTTTTCTATTTGGAGATCCAAATTTGGATCACTTCTTTCCTATCCAAAGAGAAAAGAGTGGCCTTCTCCTCAAAGGAAGTGTCCTCTTATCTATTTGGGTAGCCTACTACGAAGAATCAAAAGAGCTTGAAGGAAAGGAGCTTGGAGGAGAACGAGATTGAAGATTTGAAGACAAAAAATATCCCATTCAAAATTACTTGCATCTCTACCAGGTTTAGAATTCGGGTTGTTGTCAGTGGTGCCGGCCATTTTACTTTCTGCAAGACCCTGATTTGTAATAAGTAAGATAACTTTGCCTATGGACATTTATTAATTAATTCATTTATATTTGATGTGATGAAATGATTGCGTATATAATTACTTGTTTTCTTAGTTTTTTTGTGTTTGTGTGTCGCTTTCATTTTCGCTTAGATACTTGAGGCTCGTGAGGATGTGAAAGTTTTATACTCATAATTAAATAGTTTAAAAATTAATGAGTCTAAATAACATAGAAAGATAACGATTCTAGGGAATTAGCCAGGGATCGACCCCGGGGTCGCATGCATATTTGTGCATTTCTTCCTTGCTTTAGACCCTTCCCCGCCTGCGGGTAGAGTCCGGATAGTCTGACCTATGAGGACGAGGTGCCAGACCTGGGGAAGTCCAGTCCTCTAAAAAAATTATTTTCTAAGCTTATTTTTAACTTTCAAGTATATTTGATTTGAAGTTGTCAACTAGCATGCATCGCATTATAAACACATTTAAAAGAGTCAAAAATTTTAATTGCATTAGTCCTTAGTAATTTGCGCCCAACATAAGTCAAAAGGGTCCAATTAGGGAAATTTCTAGATGTCGGCCCGAGCTTTTCAAAACCTTAAATAAAATGTCCTTACCACTCTTTCATAAAATGTCCTTACCACTCGACGAGAAAAATCCAATGAGTCCAAGATCATTGAATTCTGACTTCATTAAGACCATCAAATGTCTAACGAATGGTACACGTTCAAGGGATTCAATATCGGACGTCCATCCAACCACTCCCCATTTACCCTTGATCTATCACCTATTTACGGGCCATACCACTCCAAAAATCTATAAATAAATCCCTAATTTCTCTTGAAATGGGACCTAAGCAAGAAGTAGAAAAGAAGAAGAAGAAGAAGAAGAAGAAGAAGAAGAAGAAGAGAAGAAGGAGAAGAGAAGAGAAGAGAAGAAGGATATGAGGGAAGAAACTCCTCGACCACGGTTCGGAATTCTGCCCGACGTCTTCCACGGGATGTCGGAATTCTTCCCGACTTCCACGGGATGCCGGAATTCTGCCCAACTTCAACTGGACGCCAAAATTCTGCCCAAGTAATGCCGAAGTTCCGCCCGACTTTCTCGTGACACCGAAACTTCGCCCAAGTGACGCCGGAATTCTACCCGGCCTCCAAGTGAATTTGGGATTCAACCAGAATACCCAATATCGTCGAATCTTAAATTATTGTTTGTAACTGAACTTCAATTCAAGAGTGGATTATTGTAATCTGATCGTCCTAAATTTTAAGGATGATTCAGCCTCTTGTACCTCAAGAAAATACTAGTAGAACTCTTTCAACTGGGCGTGACCCCTTGGTTTTTTCCCCTTCTCGGGTTTTCCACGAAAACACATTGAAATTGGTCTAGTTAATAAGATTTCACTAGTGCTTCTTATCTATTGCAAATGATGGTCTATTCCATGATTGATGTTGATATAATATAATATAATATGTATAAAATGTATAAAAGGGATTCCATAGTGGAATTTAGAAGAGCCTTGTAGTATGAGAGCTGTTTTTAAGAGATTATTTGTTATTTATTCAATTGAACTTCTTTGAAGAGAGGAGATAAGAGGTTAAGAATTCAAATATAACTCTTGGTGTTGACATTTGGAGTCAAAATTAATATTACATGTATCGATCTTATAAACAATGGCGTATATTGATGTTGGTGATGATCAAGTGGGAAGGTGTTGGCCCTTGTGATGATGATGTGTATTAACTTTAAATATAATGGCTTGAGTTAACATTATCTATAATAGTATGTGACAAAGTCAGCGAGCATCAATGGTGATATTGATGTCATGCATCAGTCTTATAGTGATGACATAGGTCATCGTCATTATTAATGATATATGAATAAGCTAACATGCATTGATTTAGTGAGAATATTAAAGTTGGGTGACGATAGTTAGGAGATCATATCTAGGTGAGGTAGTCAAAGAATTGTAGTCAAGCGATAGTAGACAAAGGATCATAATCGAATAAAGCTAATCATAGGGTCATAGTTGAGTGATGGTGGTTAGACTGTAGTCAATGAATAGTGGTCAGAAGACCATAGTCGAGTGATGATGGCTAGAGGACCATAGTCAGATGACGCTGGAATTAGGTGACATAATCAAAGGACCATGCGACAGTGATCAAAGGATCATATTCGGGTGACAATGGTAAAAAAAAAAAATCGTTGGGGCATTGTATTCGGACGATAGTAGTTATAGGGCCATAGTTAGCCAATGATATTTAGAGGATTATAGACAAATGATAGTGCTCGGGAGACTGTAGTTGTGTAATGGTGGTCAAAAGATTATAGACATGTGACAATGGTCAGTTAGAGATTATAGTCGGATGATAGTAGTTGAAGAACCTTACTCGCAAAAAGATGATTGGAGGACCAAAATCTGGCGACAGGTTGGGGAATAATAGTTTGTCGTAGTGGTTAGGGAACCAAACTTACTCAGCGATGATTAGAAGACATCATCACCGTAGTCGGGAGGCCATAGTCTGATGGTGGTGGTTTGAAGCTTTGATATTCTTCAAATAATGAGCTCTCTTAAATATCAAGCCAATGATCATAGCCCCTCACTATGTAAATATAGACAAAATCCAATACACTCCATTGGACGACCTGTAAATATAATTGATCTACTTCCTTTTTATTGATTGATATTCTAATTTTACCTGATAAAATAATTTTAATGGTACAATAACATTTCATACTTATAAATCAATTCTTCAAATCAAAACAATTTTACCTCATCTCTTGAAGCTTAGACCATCTCCAACCGTTCGGCAAACAACCAAATGGAGGCCAACCGGATGCCTTTTCCTCCGCCATTTGATCGGGGCGCCATTTTTTGATCTCTACCGAACTTGCGGAAGAAAGACGCGAAAGAAGAGAACGACGGTCAGAGAGCAAAATGGCATTCGATTGGAGATGAATCACGACAGTTTTTTGTTTCACTGCATTTTGGAGTGAAAAATGAGATTTTCGGTTGGAGATGCCCTTACATCGTGATTTTGGATTAAGGGTTCGTTTGGAACTATTTTTAATTGCTTAAATCAACTTTTAAAAGAAAAAATAATTGTACTAAAAAAATTATAATTAAAAAGCCATCCCAAACAAAACCTAAATCCCTTCAACAAGCGGTACTGTATGCTGCCAAAGTGTAGCACCTAAGGGTTTTAGAACTTCCACCACCAGATCACAAAATGCAGATATATAAAAGAAAAAGAACACTAACATAACATAACCGTTTACATCACGATTCATATGATTGAAATTCGAAATACAGAACAGAGAGCCATGTCATGAAACATCATTTAGTCCGTAATTAACTATTTAATGGTCACAACTTTACACTTTTACAGCATCCGTCAATTTTGTAATTCTGCATTAATACATTCATATTATAACGATAACAATGGCACACAACTAGTTTGCTTAGATCAAGCTCACATACCTTCAGCTCATTAATTTACTTCTGCTCCAAAACCTTCATTCCGCTCAAATGAAAATCAGTGGCAATCCCAGTTTTCCAGCAACCTATACAAGATGAAAAACTACATAAAGGTACGTAAAATCATATGCACGAAAATAGCCAAAAAGAATTCTACAAGATGGATGGCACAAATCCTAGAGTCTTCTTTTGTGCTATTATGAGTTGGCGAGCCAAAATATATTGGGGGATTTACATACCGACAATTGAACTTGTACATAATTAGCTATGTTGCACCGATATGGATATAGCGATACGGATACGACATGATACGGATACGGGACACGTCAATTCTTTAAAATACAAGAAAGGGTTGGTGCGGACACGACATTATAATTTATAAATTATATATAAAAATTAAGAAAACAATCAAAGCATAATATTTGAAATTACAAAAAAAATGAAAATAACATCATTTGCAGCGTATCAAAATAAAAGTAAGCATTAAATGTCTAGTACAACAACAAAAGCATAAACATAAATTGTCTAGCAAATGAAGTTTCAACTATTCAATAGAAAGAATGATATGATTTGCTTCTTCAATTGTTTGTCTTTGAACTTCTATATCATCTTCAATAAAAAACATGCCTTCTAATTCAGGCTCATCAGATGAAAGATTAGCAATTTCTAATATTCACATATCATCAAGAGACACAAATCCATCTCAGCAATGAGATGATCTCACTCGCAGCCACAGAAGTAAATACAACGGGTCTTTTTTTGGATACGCGTGTCCTTTTGAAATTAAATAGTATTTTTATTGGATACGGCAAAGACGTATCCAACACGTATCAATGCCGTATCGGACGTGTATTCGTTATCGGTGTATTGGATACAACATGCCTTCATAAATAGGTGTATCGGTGCAACATAGATAATTAGATAACTAACACCTAAAATGTTATATTTAGGTATATAGCATCCCAAAGTCCAAATGATATCGGGACATATGCGTGAGAAGATGTATTTCACCTTATATAAGTGATGTTAGTGGTATTTTAATATTATTTAGAGATTAGAATGTTATATTAATAAAAATGGAACTTTAGGTGTAGCAGAGAGAAATAAGAATTCAGCAGTATGCATGTAAATTCCTCAAATATTTTCCTATAATAAAAAATTTCAGGTTGAGAGCAACCTTTATGTCATGAAAACCTGGACACTGGAGGAGTTTGCACAGTGGCAAATAGGACAGACATTGGTGTAACCAGCACAGTCCACGCACAGGCAAAGATGTCTACATGGTATCAGCAGCATTGAGATCTCCTTGGCCTTACATGACTTGCAGGTCATCTGCTCACGACTTAGTCCTTTGCTAGCAGTTTGAAGGTAGCAGCTGCCCCCAAGAACAGGGTTAGGATTAAAAGAAGAGGCTGCATCATCAACTTCACTGTCCCCACAACCTTCCTTGCCTTGATCTGCAGCAGCAGCACCCTGAGCCAAGGCTTGTTTAAGATTGCTTTGCAGCATTCGCACCATGGACTCATTGTATTGAGCTCTGCGCTGCCAGGACTGTGCTTCCATGGCCGTGTTCTTAATTCGCTCGACAAGCTCCCTATTCTTCCTGTTCATGTTCTCAATCTCAAGTTCCTTCTCCTGAAGCTTCTTTCCTACCCCTCTCTCAATGGCATTCAGAAATGAAACCGTGTGTCTCTGCTTCATCTCCTTGACACCTTTCATGATCTGTGCTTCCTGTTCAATATTTAAATTTCAGTTGATGAGAAAAGATGGGGTAGTGTAAGGTTTGGAGAATAGAAGACATGTTTGAATTCAATTCATGGAAATTAAGGAAATGTCCATGCTTAATGGTCATCATCGTCAGCATTATCTCAATTATTTGGGGTCTATATTATGAGTCATTTTTCTCAGATGAGATGTTCACTTTTATTGAGGCCTTTATATAAAATTTATAACCAATGCTAATTTTGATCTATCATTTTTTTTCTTTCTAAGCATTCAAGATTATAATAGATCCCACACAAAATAAACATACATTTAAAATGATTTATTTAATTCACATGGATCGCATCTTAATGTATGTAATGCTTCGCATTTCACTTCACTCACCAAAGTTGAATACAAATGAACACACAAAATAAGAAAAACACAAGCACATAATGTATTGAAATACATAATTTTCTTGATTCTTATGTATTAACATGGAGTTAAATTTTGGATGGGTTGTTTCGTATCTTCTAACAATGTTCATCAAATCAAAAAACTGTCATCTACAATCAACATACACCAAAAAAAAAAAAAAAAGAGAGGAAAAAACACCAAGGTATCTCATCTTTAACATATTTTCAAGCATCTCCATAAATCAATCGTAAACTCTTTGGTTACTTCACTGCTTCTATAATGCTAGTGGCAAGCAACTCCATCTTCGATCACTTCGAATAGTTCCTGAACTCCCAAAATTGTGAACTTAGAAATTCATCATGAGATTAATTGAAATTTCCACAAATATCAATTTGCATTTATTTAGACTTGGGATTCAAGAATTCCTGATAGAGACATACTATAATCAATGACCCCTCCCTACCAGAAAAAGACTCTTGAATGAGGATATTTAGCTCTTCATACTAGGGGAATTTGCTTTCCGTAATGGCAATCGCATAGAAATCCCACTACACTATGGGCTCACAGGAGGAAAAATGGGTTTGATGATGGATGATAAAACTCAAGAACCCATTCCATTGTTTAGGGTTCTGTCAGGTGGGCCCCATTCAAACAGCCAAGGAGTTGTTTTACGCAAACTTGAGTAAAGAGTCGTTTGTTGTAACTATAGACATAGGTCAGGCAGCTTGTTAGGATCATTCATACTGAAGCAACAAGCTAGACTTTAGTCTAGATTTAGTAAGACTTGATTATTGCAGTTGCATTTGTTATTAGCAACCATAAACTACATCATCCAAGGTGTTCCCCTAAGGATGGGGGCAACATCATGCTAAGGACATGATTTTCTTATGATCTTGCAAATTAGAATTGAGTAATTCAAAGGTGTAAAACATGTCTAGTTATGATTTAGAAGCATTTAGCATAATAGACAACTCAAAGGCAATATATGTCCACTATATGGAAAACTATATTTGTTCATGCCTTTAGAAATCATTAATATGACAACATGATTTTTGGTGTGCTAGGATGTTTTTCGGTATATTGACGAATTTATTTAAGTTTGACCCGACATTATGAATGAATGGCCTCGTCCAGCCTTCTAAGGGTTTAGTAAAAATATCTAATTTGCTCAATTTAATCATTGGGTTTCACATTGCCCCAATTTAGTCCCTCAACTATTAAAAAATATCTAATTTGCTCCTCTGTTAAATTTGCAATTTAAATTGACAGAAGAAGCAGCAAGGCTTTGCTTCTTTAAGGATATTTAAGTAAAAATACTTCTTATTTGCTCGCCTTCCCGCTATAATCTCCTAAGACGAAACTGGTGACCAAACTGTGAGAGGGGGAAGACTTGCAGCTACGAGCAAGGCGACGTGCTGCGAGCGAGACGCGCTTCGAGTGAAATGGCATGCTTCTATTCGACATCCAAAGTTGCATGCTGCTGCGAGCGAAACACGCTGAGAGCAAGACAGCGCGATTCGACATTCAAAGACAGCGCGCTTTGACATCCAGAGACCCCTACTGCTACGAGCGACCGGGATCAATCATGATGAGCTTCAACATCCAGAGACTTAAAGTTTTTTTTAACAAAATAAAATTTCAAACTTCACAATACATAAGTTGTGAGCTTTGCCTTGTCAAAATTATTGCAAAGTATAAGTTCCTCAAAATTAGTTTAGTATTTCCGCTTATCAAAAGTTTGGGATACAATAATTAACCGCCCCCCACCACACACACCGACACACCCACACACAGAAAATGACATTTTTTATTATTTATATAGTTATATTATTATTTATTAAAATAAAATCATAGTTAAATTATGACTTTTATCTTTTAATCATCTTTTTATAGCACTAGTTTTTATATAAAAATAAATTATATTGGGATATTATAATCAAAATTTTATTATGATAAAATAACAACTTTAGAATTTGGTTTAAAATAAATATTTGATTGTATTGATATTATGATATTATAAGTTGAAATAAATATTTTTTGTTGTGATTACTATAAAAAGTTAGCTATGAAATATGATTAGGCATTAGTGTATGAATGATGTTTTAGCCATAACATTGAGAAAGAAATATTTAATTATATTGATATTGAAGTAACTATTAAACTTTTCTAGAATATAACAAGTAAACATTACAATTTATATATATTTTTTCATCTTATATTTTATCTTTTTAAAATAATAATTATCAACAATTTTTTTTAACTACCTTGGCCTCAAATTTGGATAAAAATTTGAGAGAGATTATTTGAAAAAATATATAATTTATTCCCCCACAAAAGAGAATTCCTGGCTCCGCCACTAACAGGATGATTTGCATCTTTAGGAAGTAAATTAAGATAACAAGAATGACTTAATAAGTGAAGATATTGCACATTCATGTTTTATTTAAAATATCGAGAAATAAACTAATATTTTTATTTTATTTTATTATGTTCTTGTTCTACTTCAGATTTAGGTGATTGTTTCTTATATAACTCAAAATGACTATCCAATGGATTGCAAATTAGTTTTGACTAACTCATATTGAATCACTGCAACACCTTTTCAACATACTCATCTTGGAACAACTTCAATATACCTACACTTATATCCCTACTGATTCTCATACTGAGAATTTTCTTTATTGTACCCAAATCTTTCATTTCAAACTCCTGTGATAATTGCTTCTTCAAACATCTTATCTTATTAATATTTAACCTAGCAATTAGCATGTCATCCACATACAACAACAGAATGATATAATAATTATCAAAATATGTAAAGAAATAACAATGATATACCTGGCATTTTATGTACTCATTATCTGACATAAACCTATTAAATCTTCTGTACTATTGCCTTTGGTGTCAGCTTTAGCCCATATAAGCTATTTTAAGCCTACACACCTGATCTTCTTTACCTGTGACCACATATCCTGAGATTGCATCATGTATAACTCTTCTTCAAGGTCACCATGAAGAAATATTGTCTTTACATTCATCTAATATAGATGTAAATACTTCACCGCTACTATACTCGGCACAACTTTGAATGTAGTCATCTTCTCCACTTAAGTAAAAAAATTTCAATGTAGTCAACTCCTTCCTTATACTACAAAAATTTTAACTACAAGTCTGGCCTTTTAGCACTTATTACTATCGGGTTCTTCTTTCAACTTATAAATACATTTATTATGTAGTGTTTTTTTGCCACCTAGTAGCTCTGTCAACTACCAAGTCTAATTCACCTCAAGTGATCAACTTAATCAGTCTCATCATAGCACTCCAGTAATATAAGGAAAGAGAATACCTCTATGCTGTTTTTTAGATTCTGCTGGATCTCCTGACTTCAATAGGTATCTGAGGAACTCTCTATGCTTCTTCAACTTTATCTTCTTGATCATCATTATCATCCTCAATCTCAACATATTTAAAAGAATCTAAAGGAATCTCAGTTCTATCCTTATACATTTCATTTTCATTGAATTTAACATCTCTACTCCTAATGAATTTCTAATTCTAATAATCTCAAAATTTATTCTCAAAATTTATAGAAAAATTCATCTGAGCCATATCCAATGAATGTACACATAATAGATTTTAGATCAAGCTTACTCCTATATCTTGCATTAATATGAACATAGGATGAACCAAAAATTTTGAGGTGAGATAAACTTGCCTCCTTGTCACTTCAGACATCCTCATGTAACTCTTATGCAGGGAAACTGAAGGATCACAATTGATCATACTAGCAGCAGTATTCGCTGACTCTGCCCATAATTATTTGGATAGACCTGTATGCAACCTCATGCACCTGTCACCCTCAGTGATATTTCTATTCATGTGCTTTGCAATACCATTCTGTTGTGGTGTTATTAGAATAGTAAATTCATGTATAATCTCATTCAAGACATAATACTTCTTGAGCTTCTTATCACAATACTCACCACTATTATCTGATCTGAAACATTTCAGCTTTAAACCTGTATTATTCTCAACCATGACCTCCACTTCTTGAAAACATCAAACACATCTGACCTTTGTTCTAAGACTACACCAACACTTTTTGCTATGATTATCAATAAAAGTGATAAAATAGAGAGACCTTCTATAGAAGAAACTAGTGCAAGATCCCATACATCAATATGTACTAACTCCAGCTTTTTGACTTTACTTTTGGACTAATTTTTTTAAAGCTCAACCTTTGTTGATTGTCATATATACAATCTTCATAAAATCTAAATTTATAGATTTTAAACCAGGAAGTTTTCTTGTAGTAAGAATTGAATGTCTACCTTTTTTACTCACATTACCAAGCCTTCCATGTCAAAGACCTCCATCAATATCTGAATCAATTATTCCAATAAAATATTATCTCTTGTTGATAACATACAGGATGCCTTCAATACTGCCATGAGCTATAACCATAGCTTTTTGTCACCTTCCACAAATCTCTTGTGAATGATATCACATAGCCTGAGTTTGCAAGCTGACTCACAGAAACTAAATTCCTCTTCAGACAAAGAACATGTTTAACATCTTAGAGTCTCCAAGTTGAACCATCTGTCATTTTGATATCATCTCTTTGTCCTACAATGCTACAAAGCTTGTTGTCTCCTAAATACACTTTTTCCAAATCACCTTGAGTGTAGTTCTTGAATGCCTCATTGTTAAGACTTGAATGAAATGTAGCACATAAATTTATAACCCAAGATGCAGAATTATCCAGACACAACATTAGAAAATCTAACTCAAACTCTTCTGCAAATACATTTGTAAAGTGATTTATCTTGATCTCCACCGATAGCCTTCTTTGGAACAGTATAATCATTCTTCAAGTGATCATTGTTTTCAAACTTCTAACAAACAACTTTTACTCTACCAGAAGTAAACTTTCCTCTGTTGGATTTAGATCTTCCTCTACTGGGATTTCTATCTAAACCTCTTCCTCATGCTTCAACATTCATACTCAATGTTCGTCTGTCTACGAACCTCTTCATTAAGCACCAACCCCACAATATCCTCAAATTCAACTTTGAACTCCCTATAGAGTTACTCACAGTAGTAATCAGTCCATCCCAGCTATCTGACAATGAAGATTACAACAACACTCTCACCTCATCATCAAATTTGATGCTAATTAAACACAATTAACTAATCATATTGTTCAGACTATTCATATGCTCTGCCATTGAAGAGTTGTTTAATTATGAACATCTTCATAATGAATAACTTCATCAAGAATACTTTATTTACAGCCAACGACTTCTCATGCATCTTAGTCAGTATAGCCATGACATTGACTTAAGTATTCTCATTTATTGTGTTTTGACTGTAGTCTTCTCATTTATCGTGTTGAATGCAACAAATGAAAAGTGAATGTCGAATCAAACCTAAGGTTGTTTGGTCAATAACCTGCCACTCCTCAATAGTCATCGAATCCGGTTTTTTAGTGATTCCTTTTAATGAAAAACACAACTTCTGGTACAACAAATTTTAAATTTACATTCTCCATAATGCAAAAGTTTGAACCGTTGAACTTAACAAACTTGTATCTTGTTTCAGCAGCCATTACTCTAAAAAATGTGGCTTCTGATACCAGTTGTTGGGGGAAGTGAAACCACATAATGAAAACAACAAGAAATAAAAATGCAACGGAAAGGAAAGAACACAATAATTTAAAGTAGAAAAACCTAAAACTGAGAAAAAAAACACGAGACCACACCACACCAAGAGATATATTATGAAAATTTGGTAGAAATAGTATAGGTTTCGAGGAAAAATCATGGAGGCACACCACACCAAGAAATTCACCATAAAAATTTGGGAGAAATAGTATAGATTTATATTTTCTCTCGCTTTCGCCTTGTCTCTCTTCATCCTTGCACCATTTTCACAAACAAACAACGATAAAACCTGACATAAACTGCCAAGGTATACAACCCTCATAAAAAACGAGAACGAAAAACTATAAGCCTGTCTTGTAACGCCACTGTGCCAGTTTGGAGCGTCGCAACGCTCAATTCTCTATCTCCAATCTGCGTGACAGCACTACAATACCAGGGTTTGGAGCACTGCAGCACTGGGGTCTAGAGCATTATAGTGCTAACTCTCTCTATTTTTCTCCAAGCAAACTATGGAGCGCCGAGGCACTCGGGTGCACAACGCTGGAAGGTAGGGCTCACAACACTGTGGTGCTGTAAGGAAAACATTTTTCGAGTGCTTTGCACCAAAACCCAAGGGGAGGACCCCTGTAATCCCCCAGCGAGCTCAACAAACTAAATTGAGATCTGAGGTAATAATAAAACCTGATTAATTAATTAGATTCCACACAGAATTAACAGTTATTTTAGTTCACCAACATCGGTGTTGAAGCACCTAACTTGGAAAAGAAAAAAATAGTTTGCCTTTGAGGCTGTCATTCAAGATCCAGATCAAATAAGGAAACACGTTAAGGAGATTATTGGAGACAATTATGATAATCAATCGCATAATACACAAGTTGTCTGTGCCAAGATGTACAATTACCACAGTCACAGTGAGAATACTACTACTTGAGGGATAGAAAATTCAATGGCAGGTGCAGAATTGTTTTGAATAGATACATTTTGGTGTGCAATATATATATGCATATGCTTCAAAGATCTCTTGCAAATGATGAGTCTGGCGCCACTTGAGCTTTGCCTAGTTGCACAATGACCAACCCTTTTTAAGGTTTTGAAGTTTAAACAGCTCAATAAGGAAAGGAGTCAATAAGAAAATCCAAACTATGATGCCATATTATAGGAGGGAGCAATGGGCTCTTGATATTACCTTAATAATACTACAAGAAAAAATACGAAATTCAAACTTGATAATTTTAGGTCAAATTATATTTTAAAAATTGGATTGATTTTTTTTTTTAAACTAACTTCATGTCAAATTTTGAAATAAATTTAAATTTCCACCAGTTAAATTCCTACAAATATAATTAGGAAAATGGGAATAGGGATTTAATGGAGCGTTGTAGTCTGTTGCAAATAATAGAAAAACAAAAAAAACAAAAAAAAATTGAAAGAAAGAAGAGAAACTTGGGTGGTGCCATCCTCGACTAATCAAGAAGAGATATAATATTACTTACATTTCTAAATTTCCTCTCCTTGACTCTCTCTATATGATCCTTATATTTCTAAGCAATATTATAAGATTTGAAAGAAGAGAGAACTTTTGTGGTGCCATCTTTGATTGCTCGAGAAGAGATCTTCTGATATGACAAAATCTCTAAATTTACTCTCCCTCTCTTTGTGCATGATCCTAGCATTTCTACAAGATATTAGAAGATTTTATAATTTGTTTAAGTTAAGATATTTGAGACTTCTCTTTGTGATTAAAGTGTATTTGAATTTGGGAAAGAGCATTTTCTTCAACCTTTTTATTTGTACACTTATACAGCTTTTTGATGGTGGTTCAGTTTCTCTCACGTCTCTCATGAATGCAACTATAGTAGTCATTACATAAATCTTAATGTGTTATTATGATATTTTCAGTGTTATTACTTTGTATTCAGAAAAGAGAAAGGAATAAGCAAAAGCAAGGAAAAAATCATATGAGAAAGCCAATACCTGGATTCTGATGTAATTATCAAATTCCTCCTTTTGGCGGTCAAACTCATTCCTAAGGTTATCATCCAAACACATGATAACTGGAAGAGAAGATATGTTCCCACTACCAGACGAGATAGATGAATTGTGTTCATCATCATCATAGGAAAGCCTCAGCCCAGTTGACACAGGGTTTGGATTCGGAATGCTGGCTGTACAATCAACATCATCTTGGCAAAAATTATTTAAGGAAATCTGAAGCTTGTGAGGCATTCCGATAACATCTGCATCTCTGCTTCTTTTGTTAGGTTGGTTCAAAGTATAATTCACAGCATCAACGTGACAAGCAGCAGGAACTGCAAATAATTTGAAGCAGTAATATGCTTTTTTTAATAAATGACATATTTTTCAATCAGCCAGACAGTTGGCAATTTGTTAAAAAATAAATGTAACACCTGAATTAAACGCATAAGGAAAAGGTATTAAAAAGACTGCACAAAGATATTTGATTCAATAACTAGCTCTATCAAGCAGGAATATTCCTTTATGCAAAAATCTCAAATATCAAAGAACCGGGCAGGAAAAACAAAAGATTTATACTACACAATGGTTCAAATACTTCCCATTTGCAAGTGCACACATGTTTAGCACTTACAGCGTAATACAACAACGAAGGGTCTGAAGTTACCAAAGTAATGCACATGTTATTGTATAAGATCCAGGTTTCTTCAAAAAGGCTTGGCTTCTATAGTTTGTGGATCATGAGGATAGCAAAAAAATTCAGCGTGCTCTTACAAGGATAGCAAACAATAAATAAAGAAATATGAATTAAAAGGAAACCTAGTTGTGTTTCAAAACATGGAATATACAAAAGATATTGTATATGGAGAAGAATACTTTATAAGATTTTAAAAGAACCTAATCATTTAAAAAATATTAGGCATGATAGGTCACGGCAAATGATGTGTCAGAGGAAAATACATACAAAATAATGCATGTGAATGCTCCTTCATATATTTTTAATGAATCAAAAGAAAAGCACTTTCTCGATTGAAATGGCAGCACAGGGACATAAGAAAACGTATACTATGTTGAGAAATCATAGGCCAGGTTTGTAAGGAGAAGAAACTTGCACGCTCAAAACCTATAGGTTTATCCTATCATTTTCAAGGAGCCACTGACCATCTGCAAGAGTTTATCTGTAGGCTATATTCTAACAGGTATCTCTATCAAACCCGGAGAAGTGCTTCTAAAGTTTTGTTGGGACGAATTTCTTACTGCTTCTATAGAGTTTATCTATAGGCTATATTCTAACAGGTACCTCTCGCAAACATAGAGAAGTGCTTCTAAAGTTTTGTTTGGGATGACTTTCTTACTGCTTCTTAAAGCAGCTTTTTAATATAAAAATTTTAATTTTTAAACTAAAAAGTTGCTTTAAGAAGAAGTAAGAAAACCGTCTCAAACGAAGCCTAAGTTTTCTACTGCATGGTAATGGATGTTTGAAAGTTCAAAGAATTTCTTACTAGCAGTTTACCATCGACCTATGTTGCACGGACACGGACACGGCGACACGGACACGGGACACGACTTTTTTTGAAAATATAGGACACGGGTACGGCGCGGACACGCCAATACATTTTTTTTATATTGTGTATATATATTAATGTAATATCATATTAAAAATGACAAACAATAATAAATGAATGACATGATAACTTGTCTATATATATATATATATATATATATTCACCCAATATAGTGTGCCAAAGCATCAATATGATCTTAAATATAACTAAGGACCAAAGCACCATTATATGTACCATACTAACATCTATAAACAATGCATAAACACCAATTATGTATTGGAATATTGATGATTGAGCTATTACGTCAACAAGCATGCCAACATACTCAATTTTAGCAAATGAAACAAAACTTACATCTATAGGGTTATAATAAGCTTGCATAATGTCAAATGATACTAAACTTACATCTCAAATAGTATTAACCTTACATCTATAGGGCTACAATAAGCTTCTAGGTAACCCAAATGATCCTAAAACCACTTCAACCTTGTCTTCAAAACATAAATTCAACCTACATGGGCATTCAATTAGAAAGTGATTTCTCCTTCCTCCACCTCTGCTCCAACATCCCAATGCTCGCATGCATGGGGCACTGGCCCTCGCATCCCTATGCTATAGGCTAAGCTCTACAATTGTTGACTTATTTCTCTACAGGTCTTTTTCTACATGCATTTGCATCATCACCGCATAGTTCTTCACCATCCCATGATTCGCGTAGGGTTCGCCCTCTCTAGCCGCCCTTGCAAGGCACATGCCAACACTTCCTGATCTTTGGGCATATGGCTTGGATTGTAGTTGTTGAGTCATCTAGGGCTTCAACCCAACTCTTCTTTTCACTCACCATCCTCCACTTTCCCTCCTGATAGCATTTAGTTTTACTCCTTTTAGATCCATTTTGCTCATGTTCTCACCTCATTGAGCTATGTTGCTCTTCTTTCCCTCCTTGTTGCCAAATCCTGCTCAATCGTCTCCCTCGGCATGTCCTAGGTTTCAGTAGTTGGCTCATGCTATTCAACCACCACCAGGACCTCTTGTTCCAGTCGATTCAATCATCTCTGGGGCTCTTCCCTGTTCACACCTCTCATTCTTTTACAACTATGTTGGGTGGGTTACCATGTTCATGATCAATCTCCTTCGAAGTTCCCATTATTTTTCATCAAACCTCATATCCACCTTTACGTAAGCAAGCTTATATACTTGCATTTTCTCTAATGCTAAAATAACTAAGCTTACTCGACCATTTTCTTTCTCTATCGCTGACAAATTCTCATTGAGTTGTCTCAACCTGTATGTTATTCTTTCATGACAGATTTACAGTTGGTCGTTGAATATTCAATAGGTTTTATTGATCATCATCTTATCATTATGACTTTCTCTTTAGAAGCATATTACATCAGACAGTTTTTTCATCGTACCTACTATGCCAATGTCTATCTAATGCAATTGCAAAAGTGGTCTCTCCATTTTGACACTATCATGCAACCATCTATCACCATTATTTGAATGGATTTTCTAGGTTAAATTTCTATTATTTTAATCAATCCGCTTACTTTTTAGATTCTTTTTTGGTAAACATTTGCAAGTGGATGTTGCTCCCGTTCATCTTTCAAAGCTATCAAAGACCAAATTCAAGATAGAAATGAACATTACTTCTCAACTTCAAAAGAAGATATGGATTGGTATATTCCCTTGTAGTTACTATTAGAATCTTGAATTTGATAGGATCCCCCACAATTGTTCCTTTGCCAGATATTTGACGACAATTATTCTGAATGCTTCAAGGCTCATCCGGATATAAGAAAATAAAACATTCAAGCACAAGAGGTAGACTCAAATGATCAGATCCCTCTCCCATGGTGGTTGATCGTCCTTTAGTTCAGGTTTCCATTCATATTAAGAACTAATTTGTTTTCCATTAGATGCGGCCCAGCTAGTCATGCAAAATATATTATCGACTTCACATTCAAATAATATTATGGATATTGACCCCCATACTTTGAAAGTTTCTCATCTCCCTTCTATTGGTGAAGAAGGCAGAAACAAACATAATCCATGGTATTCTCTTGATTCTGATGAGAGCATTTTAAGGGATGAAGCTCTAGTAGATAAAATGTTATATATTTAACTTACAATTAAGAAAAAATATACCAATCTACCATTTTCAGTAGGCTTCAAGCAAGGCTATCAAAAGGAGTGGTTTTTCAAGTTATGACCATGCCATCTTTAATTTGTCTCACATATTTTTCTTTTTCTCTGAAAAATTATTATTACTTGTTCATATTGTACTAATGTCATTTTCTAATAATAAAATTATATTTAAAAAAATAATGTCAACCTAGTTGATCAAATAAATAAGACAAATACTGAAGTTTGACCTCATTGACTCCCAGTTGATCTCATGATTATGATGAATCATCTCAATACACTAGTTAAAATATGCACTACATAAAAAAGTGAATTATGACCAATTTAAACAATCAAATCACATTGGCCACCGGATGAGGTCTTATGACCCATTATTGAGATGACTTCAATATCTAAATCATGAATTTCACATGAATGCAAGTCAAAAGCCAGGATAATAAACCCCAACCTTCTATGAAGTTCGCAACTAGAGCAATAAATTCCATATTTCAAAATAAGTTAATTTCAAGCATCAAGCAAAAACAAAAAAAAAAACTAATTGCAGCATAGTCGGCCTTCCTATCAACATAAGCCATATCCCCATTATTTGGGTCAATACAAAGCCAACAAACACATTAAATAAAATATTGGGCTTTCCTACTACTGTAAGCCCCATCCCAATTAATTTTGGCAGGCATAAAGCCAACAAACCTTCCAATTCAAATCTTGGGCCTTCCAATAAAAATAAGCCCCAATCTAACCTTAACTTGGGCATCATGCTAAAGAGTCCAGCAATTAAAACCGCAAAAGCCAAAAATCCCATGTTTCATTTATGCTTTTTTGAATCACGCTGAAATTCATAAAGAATTGATATATCATACCTAACTTTGAACTATTATCAATCATAACTAATACTTCTGAATCACAAATGACCATACTATATGCCTTGAAACTATTCAATGAATTGGTATAACTAGACCTTTAGCGCTTAACAAGTCAACACTAACCTTGAAGCACATCTTTGACATAAATACATTTCCAAGCTAGTATGTTCAGGATACCTGTGATGAAGTAACCAATGTTTTTTTAACTAATAGTTGCTAAATAGGCTACCAAGATATGATGGCTTATAGCTCTCTAACATTGACAGCAGGTTCATTACTACACCCAGAATAATGAAACCATAAAATCTTGATCAGTGTCTACCTCCATCCATCCAACCATCCATTTTCCACTTATTTAAATCCACATCGACCTACCAAACTAAGCCTAGACAACCTCCTTATTGAGAGTGCACTTTAGTGATTAAGAGGATTATTTAAATATGGGGGCTTATACCTAGAAGAAGTTTGAGACCCAAATCTAAATAAACTTTAAGTCTTTATCAGGAAAAATATGGGTAAAATAAAAATAATCTAACTCAAAAAAGGACTCGTACTAATTTTTTTCTTACACAGAGGAGGTGAAGGGAAGGGTTAGCTTTTCCTACATTTTTATGCTGTAAGACCCATGTCAGGATATGAAAGTTGTGAGAAACCATGCTAAATGATGATAAGCAAAGATCATGAGAATATCTACTTGTAACATCTGAAAGATGATCATGAACATGCTATAGTATTTTAATTAATGTATTGCATGCTCTTGAG